CAGCTATTAGTAATGTATATTTAATATTGATAAACTTTCCCTCTCTCTTTCCCTCTCTCCCTCTCTACCCTCTCTCTCTCTTCCCTCTCTTCCCCTCTCTCTCTTTCCTTCTCTCTGATAAACTTTCCTCTCTCCCTCCTCCTCTCTCTCCCTCTCTCCCTCTCCCTCCTCCCTCTCTCCCTCTCCCCTCTCTCCCCCTCCTTATAGTGACACAGAGTAGCATGTACAGTAGAGAGAAGGTTATGGTAACCCAATTTCACTTAACACCACAACAAGTCCAGGAAATATTTATATCAGAGTAAGAGAGGGAGAGAGTAAGAGAGAGAGAGAGAGAGAGAGAGAGAGAGAGAGAGAGAGAGAGAGAGAGGGAAGAAGTACATGTGCATGCAGTAGTGTTACGTCATTATCAGTGTGTAGTGTACAAAGTGTGTACCAGCTGCTCAAAGTGTGTGAATTGGAACACTATTAATTAATTAATTATTAATTTGTTTACGATTTGTAGGACCACACCCGGGAACTTTCAAACTCAAGTCATATTGAGGTAAATAATAATAATAATGATGATGATGATGATGATGATGATGATGCCCCTCCCTTTTCTCGTTAGACTGTGTAGGCGTGAGACCAGCTGTGATCAGGAGGACTATTGTCCAACGGAGTGCCGACTCAGCATAAATAAGAAGAGTTGCGTAATACCAGTTAGTAACTATTGATAACTACTAATAACTATTAATAACCATTAATAAGTAGCAATAACTACTAATAACTATTAATATCTTCTAGGGTTATAATTACAGTTTGTCCGGTCGTCCTGATTATAAGTACCTGATGAAGCCAATCAACATTACTTCATTTGTTCACACTTCAGCTCCTCAGGCTAACACTGTCACTGTCTCATGGAGGGATAGTCATAATGACCCACAGGTAAACATGTTGTTTACTGTTTATTGTTGTTGTTTATTGTTTGTTGTTGTTGTTATTGTTTGTTGTTGTCAGGGTTACTGTATGACCATACAGTTGGCTAGAAGCCTGTCTCCTTCAGATCTTCTCCAAACGTTGAAAGGGAAAGGAGTTAAATCTCCTGAAATATCCCGTGCTTTAGGTAATTAATTATTCACGAGATGGGTGTGGTCAATATTAATTAACTCATTATGTAGTCAAAGAGAAGTTAACAGTTGAAACTGATTCCGAGATATCAGCTACCAGCCTTCGGGTATCACTGATTTGTCCAGTAAGAAATTATTGCTATTATTATTATTATTATTATTATTATTATTATTATGTTGTTGTTGTTGTTGTTATTATTATCATTTATTTTCTAGTTGGGTAAAGTCAAGATGTCTTATCCTTGTCGTTCTGTCTCTTGCAATCACTTGCAGTGTTTTGAAGCAGCAACTTACCTCCAACTAAACGAAAAGTACAAAATTAACATCCAATATTAATAATAATGCTACACTTTTCTCCTCTAGGAAA